ACACAGGGGCACACGGTAGCTTAATTGGTTGAGGCAATACGCTATAAGCCGGAAGGTCACGGGTTTAATTCCCGATGAGGACACTCGAGTTTTTTAGTTAACCTAATCCTTCTAGCCGTACTATGGCCCTGGGGTCGACTCAGCCTCCAACACAAATGAGTACCCGGAATTTTCGTGTGGGTAAAGGGCGGCCGGTGAGGAAGACTCACAACCTCACTGTGAGCTGATTGTCTAGAATATGTAGGAGCCTCGACACCTCACAATCCTATGGGTTTCCGCAGCCTGTTACAGGAATAAGCTTTACCTTGGAAGAAACTCGTTAAATTAGCCAGCAATTTAAAATAGCGCTCTTTTTCAGAAGCCGATAGTTTTCTGCCAATCAAAAAATTATTCTCCTTTTCTCGAGCCTGAAATGTCAATACCAGGTCCGCCTCCGGAACCAGATTACTTCAGTTCGCCTCCTCAGGATTTCTTTCTTTAAGTGCCATTTCAATATCACCCTCCAATCTAAGTCTGGTCTTCAAAATGGTCTCTTCCCTTCAAATTTAGCTACGAAAACTTTGTATATATTTCTCATTTCTCCCATTTGAACTACATATCCCACTTATACCTTTACTTTGATCACCCTAACATATTATTGCTGTATTTGGTGAGCAATGGATGCATGAAGTTCTCAGTTATGAAATTTAATAAATTCAGACAACAGAGATTTCCTATGGATATTTATCATATGCGTTCTTTTCTAGGAATTTGTATCTCTCTGTGATACGGATATTCATTCACTGAGGATACAAATTAATTTCTTGACTTACTCTGTCTTACTGAAGTGTCGATGTTGAAATTCGTAACGGAACTACATATGCAAGTATTACATTGTACAGAAACTAATGAATATAGTACACAGGTTTCCGTCTATTCTTGTATTTAATTAAGCATGTGTCACACCGAAAAGTCNTGTGAGCTGATTGTCTAGAATATGTAGGAGCCTCGACACCTCACAATCCTATGGGTTTCCGCAGCCTGTTACAGGAATAAGCTTTACCTTGGAAGAAACTCGTTAAATTAGCCAGCAATTTAAAATAGCGCTCTTTTTCAGAAGCCGATAGTTTTCTGCCAATCAAAAAATTATTCTCCTTTTCTCGAGCCTGAAATGTCAATACCAGGTCCGCCTCCGGAACCAGATTACTTCAGTTCGCCTCCTCAGGATTTCTTTCTTTAAGTGCCATTTCAATATCACCCTCCAATCTAAGTCTGGTCTTCAAAATGGTCTCTTCCCTTCAAATTTAGCTACGAAAACTTTGTATATATTTCTCATTTCTCCCATTTGAACTACATATCCCACTTATACCTTTACTTTGATCACCCTAACATATTATTGCTGTATTTGGTGAGCAATGGATGCATGAAGTTCTCAGTTATGAAATTTAATAAATTCAGACAACAGAGATTTCCTATGGATATTTATCATATGCGTTCTTTTCTAGGAATTTGTATCTCTCTGTGATACGGATATTCATTCACTGAGGATACAAATTAATTTCTTGACTTACTCTGTCTTACTGAAATGTCGATGTTGAAATTCGTAACGGAACTACATATGCAAGTATTACATTGTACAGAAACTAATGAATATAGTACACAGGTTTCCGTCTATTCTTGTATTTAATTAAGCATGTGTCACACCGAAAAGTCTTTCAGAGTAAAGTCGAATTTAATTAAATCTCTTTTTTATTTCTAGCATTATTTTTCTGTACAACGATTCTCTTTGAAAATATTAATGATATTTTATATCAATTTCAATTGAAATAACTTTCATGGAACAAAGTTAGATTTACAAAAATAATCTTCTGGCGTAGACTCTCCATACCATATATGATTATGTTTCGGTGACAACATCCTATGAACAGATATGACCTTCCTGGTATAGCTTACTGGGCAGCATGTAGGTAAATCAAGAATCACGTTTGACGAAACCCTCTGATTTCATTTGTGGATTTCCTATAGATTCATACGAAAAGAGAAACCGCGGGTAGTCACAACAACATCAGTTTCCTTACCTTCACGTTTTGCTCGGCCCACTGGCCGGAAGGTCCCATAGTGTTACTGTATTACGTGACGTTCTCCAGGGGCACGAGCGCTTTGATTCAGACACTGCATCAGTTATATCAACCGTTTTATGCAAGTGAACACACTTAGCCCTTTGTTCTTCTGCCGAAAGTTTCCAAGCTCTCGACTGCCACAAATGTATACAGTTATGATTATAAAGACGACAGAAAGCCATAATACCGAGAACTCCTCATAGTAAAATTTTTAACGTTTTGAGTGTGTCGTGAAATGTTACTGGGATTTCATATTTCAATATCTTTTGAGTGCAATAATGTAGAGCAACAGCATAAATTTTTAATTATAAATGGTCGTATAATCATTTCATTTGAGGGGTTATTATTTTGCTGTTATCACCGCAAATTGTTACGTATGAAGTGGATAAATCGGCAGGACCACTGGGAACTTGTTGCAGGCCGCAATTGGTATAACTCGATATTGAAGTTGACAGACAACCTCGCCTTGAATGTCCCAGGTTCCTGTACATGAAAACAGATGAAGAATAAGATAGTTGTAAATAGACATAACTGTCGATATTTTTGG